AAAAAAAAAAAAAAGAGGTCCGGCAAACCTCAGGGCTCAGGGCGTTTGCGGAATTCACGGGAGGGGCCTGCTTGTCCTGGGAAAGGCTGCTTCCCCCCTGGGTCCCAGTTTCCGCATCTGTCAAATGGGCGCAGCGCTAGGCCTCTTTCGGCTCTGACACCACTGCGACACGCAGCAGGAGGGAGGGTCGCGGCCGGTCCTCTTCTAGACCCTTACCATTTGATGATGTTGTGAACCAAAGGTAAAAAGGAGTAATTCTCCTCCTTCACGCCCGCAGGCGACGGGGGTCTCGGTGCGAGCGACGGCGGTGGCTGAGGCGCGGCGACCGGAGCGGACGGCTGAGGCGGCGGCAGCGGCTTTGTCTCGGGCAGCGGCGCCTCAACAGGCGGCGGTAACGCATCCTCCGTCTGACGCCCGGCGGCCACACCGACAGAGGCCATGGCGCCGCTCGAGGTTCAGCCTCCTCCACCCGCAGGGACCGGCGGCTCAACCCGCCGGGAGGCGTCGCTGGCTGTGGACGTCACCACCGCGCGCCCGCCGGAGGCTCTGGCGCGTGCGCACCAGAGAAATGGGCGGGGCGATGTGGAGTGGGCGGGGCGGGGCAAAGGCTCCTTCTGATTTGACGCGACGCTCGTGGCTGCTCTGGGGCGGCCTAAAATTGTGGCTAAATTTTGAAATAGAAATAGATTTATTTAAGGATAGGACACAGTCTTTTAATTTATGTTCCTCTGACAAAGCGGGTTCCAACGCAAGGAACGCTGGAAATCCTAAGAGACGGTCCATTGGGCAGAGTCCTCTTGTAAAGGTCACCTGAAGAAACCAGTTGAACTATGGGAAGAGTTCCGCCCTCCCTCACGACATTGAGTCATTTCTCCCACCTGGCGACCCTGTAGGACGGGCAGAACTGCCACTGTGGGTCTCTGAGAAACGCAGGACCTGAGGCAAAAGGGGCGAAGAAGCTGACTGATCAGGGAAGACACTGCGTGGAACCCTAAAAAGAGATGGCTAGGAGGGAAGTCTACATAAGCCAACTCGTTTAATATGTAATTTATATAGCACACATGCTTTACCAAAAAAAATGTGTGCCAGCATGTTGGAGGAGGCTACTCTAGGAGAAAGGGTAAGGGATTGTGAGGTACCGGATTCCTATTCGTAGAACTATCCCATTGGGTTTTCTAGGATGTAATCTTTTTTTTAATACTTTTATTGGGGGCTCTTACATTTCTTATCACAATGCATACATTCATCCAGTGTCAAGCACATTTGCACATATGCCGCCATCATCATTTTCAAAGCATTCTCTTCCCACTTGAGCCCCTGATATCAGCTCCCCATTTCTTCTCCCT